GCCCACCAGGCTCCTCTGTCCATGGAATTCTTCAGACAAGAATACTGGAGTGAGTAGCCATTCCCTTCTCCAGGGGAATCTTCCCGACCCAGGGATCCAATCGGGGTCTCCTGCATGGTGGGCAGCTTCTTTACCAGCGGAGCCACCAGGGGTCCCTCTATGTTTGTCACACACACAAAATCTCACAAAGTCACACTAAAACTATAAGCACATGCCAAAACAGCCTCTCTGTTTTCAATGTGAACAGCAGACAGCTCTGGGTTTCCAAGGCTTAGCTAAAATGTAACCATTCTGACATCTGATCAAGTTCACCAAAAAAATAAACACAAATTTTACAGAGACCTAAATTTTAAAATCTCTACAAATTCTAATGTTACATATAATCCTTGTAATACAGACTTAATATTTCACCCTAAGCCTACCATCAGTAGATTTTTAGCAACTTGAAGTCAAAGTCCTTTATTGATTTCATTTCATAAAGAAAATGGACCAGATCCTTCTCCAACTATTTTCTCCTGAAAACAGTTCACAACTGAAACTAGTGATCCTCCCTTTGAAGCAAGCCCTGAGTGGTGCTGCGGAAGAAACGAAGGCCTGTCTCCCCAGGACCTGCATCCATGCCGCAGGGCCGACAAGGAACACCGTCGCAGCCCCTGGAAGCTCCTACCTGACTGAGCTCTCCGCGCCTCCTCTCAGGCCCGCGCCCGAGGCTCAGCAGCTACTATCACCCAGACCGCGGGGAGCTCAGTCCTAAGAAAGGCGAGCTCAGCCTGGAGAGGTGAAGCCGTGCCCAGGCACCAGCTGCAGCCCTGGAGCGAGAGAAACCAGGTCAAACTCAAGGCAGTTTCAGCTGCGGGAGCCGCAGAGGCAGGACCGGCCGTCACAGGAAGCCGCGCTCACGCTGACGGCGGCGGCGTGTGCAGAGACCCAGGAGCGCGGCCCAGGCTCGCTCACCCCCGGCGGCGGCGAGTGCAGACCCAGGAGCGCGGCCCAGGCTCGCTCACCCCCGGCGGCGGCGAGTGCAGACCCAGGAGCGCGGCCCAGGCTCGCTCACCCCCGGCGGCGGCGTGTGCAGACCCAGGAGCGCGGCCCAGGCTCGCTCACCCCCGGCGGCGGCGTGTGCAGAGACCCAGGAGCGCGGCCCAGGCTCGCTCACCCCCGGCGGCGGCGTGTGCAGACCCAGGAGCGCGGCCCAGGCTCGCTCACCCCCGGCGGCGGCGAGTGCAGACCCAGGAGCGCGGCCCAGGCTCGCTCACCCCCGGCGGCGGCGAGTGCAGACCCAGGAGCGCGGCCCAGGCTCGCTCACCCCCGGCGGCGGCGAGTGCAGACCCAGGAGCGCGGCCCAGGCTCGCTCACCCCCGGCGGCGGCGTGTGCAGACCCAGGAGCGCGGCCCAGGCTCGCTCACCCCCGCTCTGGGTAAGGGGTCTGTACATCGCGCGTAGGCTCCTGAACAAGCAACTGTGTATCACAGACTCCAGTGACTCCTAGCCGTGCTGTTAGCTCTCACACGCATCTCCAACCTCTGGCTCCCATCTCTGGAGCCATCTCAGCAAATTCCCTAGCTACGGTCACCTTGTTTTTCTAGAGAAGGTATCTCTCCAGCGCAGGGGCAGGCTATGACGAAGGCACGCCCCAGGCAGGGGTTACAGACATCTAACTGAGACGCTGAGAGACCACCTCTCGGGGGCACTGTCCTCAGTGCGCGAGTTCAGAGGAAGGAGAAGAAGACAATGTAAGTTCTAACAACATGAACCTTTAGACTTTTCTTTTCCACAGTAAGGCATTTAGCTCACTCACAATGATACTAACCAGAAAAGGAAATGTTTGCCTTTAGGAGCTAGAGAAAGAAAACATTATGTTTGCACCCGAAGTTATTACTAACAAATGAACAGCCTGCTGAAAACTAAAAGCCTACGCTGTGGGTGATGTCACTACACTGCCCTCGGCCCAAAACTGATTCGAGGGCAGTCATTCCTCTTAAGCAAAAAAGTGGGAAAGAGCTTAGAAATTGCCCCCCCTTTTTTTGCATTTAAATTTGCATTAATAAGCTTAATAATCAAGTGGTAGTTGAAAACAAAAAGGCTTATTTTAGTTATTTTAGCTGCTAAATCCTCTCATTTCCCCGATGTTTACTTTTCCTATCCAAGATTCAAGAATATACCACACGGTTAAACATATCAAAAAAGAAAAATCGATTCCGTAATACAAGAACTTCCCATCTCCTGGAAAATTAACAAACCAGCACATAGAGAACCCCATGGACAGGGAAGCCTGGCGGGCTGCAGTCCATGGGGTCGCAAAGAGCGGGACACAACTGGCCAACTAACACATCAACAACAGAAACACCCATATTTCCCAGAAAAAAAAGGCTGTTTTTTCCTAGAAGAGCATTATAATTCAGATCACCTAACAAGACGAGGAAATGTGTCAGACCCTATGGCAGTGAGAGGGAGCCCAAACAGAAGGCAGCCCAAAGGAGGCCCCGCCTCAGAGGGAGGGCGGCCCAGGCGGGGCCCCCAGCAGGCAGGGCCGCGCGGCGCCGCACAATCACCCCTCACCCTCATGTGGGTCTCCACGGACACTGCACCGACCGGGGCCCTCCCAGGCTCCCCAGGTGAGGAAGGGGTCGTTGCGGAAACTGCTCTGTCCTTCAGATTCCAGCGGAACCCACAGAGAGGGCCCAGGCCTGCAGAGAGTCGTGTCCACCCTGTTCTGTGAAGGGGAGCCCAGATGAACGGGACAGGAGTGAAGGCGTCGGGCAGCGGGCCTGGTGAGGGCAGCCGTGGGTAGAGTCCACAGCACGCAGGGTCGCGCGCGCGCGCGCACGCAAAGTTTGAGCAAGTGCAGGGCGTCACCAGCAAGCCCCTCAGAGTCCAGGCTCACGGAAGTGGTGGCTCTGTGTTCCGGAAGCAGTGGAGATGAGCAGAGCTTCCTGGCAAACCCACCAGGTCTGGACAAGGTTACAGGCCAGTGGGAAGGAGAGGCGGAGTGGGGGATGCAAGAGACCTCCAGAAAAAATAGGACTTGGGCTTTGTGTATGCAGACGAGAAAAGGAATGAAAGAGGTTGCGGAGGAAAATTTTAAGGAAGCAAAGTGACAGCCACATGCCAGGCACCACGGAGCATCCCAAAGTATGAGAGTCATTAATTCCACGTAATAACCCAGTTCCTACCACCTGTGCCAGGTACCATTAACAATGTGGGGCAGACAAGAAGGACCCCTGTCCTCAGGAGCTTAAACCAGACCTCTCCCCGTTCCTCCTCATCATGAGCTTGCCTCTCCTTGTCCCCGAGGCTGTCTCTGCTCTGAAAGCATCAGCTGGCTCAAGCCAAGAATCTGCAGGTCCTCAGCCTGAGTGGTTTAACAGTCTGTTCTTAATGGCAAATAAATTCTCAGGAATATCTTCTCAACAATGATGACCACGAGAGTGTAAGAAGTGTCAGGGAAGTCCATCTTCACCTAAACGGACCTGCAGAGCTTCCCCACAGAGCCCTGGGCAGGATGGCAGGCTGGTCACTCCCTGAACCAACTTGCAGAGTGTGCTATTACACACAGACGTTTCTTCCCTGACCTGCAAGGATGAATAACCTCCTGACCAAGTGCAGACTGAAATGTGGGGTTTGCTGGGAAAATGAATTTAGAAGAAAGGAGAACGATCCACACTTAACAACAGCAGGGAGGCCAGAGGAAGCTGAACAGGGGTGTGTGAAGGACAAAGACTAACCCAAGTCCCAGTGCCGGAGGGAGGCTGCCTGTCAAGCCAGATTCATAATTTTCATAGAATGCTTCCAGCTGCTCAACCTTAACAAGGATGCAGGACCGCCTCGGCCACTTACTCATGCATTAAGTTAAAAAACAAAACACACAACAAAGGAGAGACCCGACGCAGACGACACACGCGCAGGCCGTCATCCAGACGAAGCAGAAACTCCGGGCTCAGCTTTATCAGCAGCCGTCGTGGACACTTTTCGAGAACTTCTGGTAGCCAAGGCTGCTGCCGAGTACAGACTGTAACAGCAAGGACTGCTGGCTGCCTGTCACAGCAGCCACGCCCAGATATGTGGACTGTCTCACACTGTGACATCATCAAACAAGTTTCTAAGCAGTTTTACTTTTAACTGTCACTTTATTTTGATCACATTACAGTAAAACTTACTTTACATCTGAACTCCCTCCAAACTGCATACAGGAGAGATGGCTATCATTCTTGGGATCTTTCTGGTCTTTGGCAAATGAAACCCCCAGATACAATCAACACATTCACAATGCTTTGTAATTTACTTCGATTATTATTTTTTCCCTTTAACCCAGATCAGAACCTTATTTTCCACCCTCTCCTCAATGCTGTGTAATAGCGACAAACTTTTACAGTCTTGCCCAAGACAAAGTAGAAATAATACGTGCAAAATAAATTCTAGGTGTTTCCCATGGAAAAGAGAAGTACAAAAAACAACATTATTTTAAGAAGGAACATTTTGTAAAATGTGCTTAGAAGCTTTTAAAAAGCATAGCATGCAAATATATAAAAAGCGCAATGACTGTTAAACATTAAGGATTCTAACCTATACTGATGAATTGTGAAATAAATACCTCTAAAGGTTAAAGAGTATACTTGAACAATTAAGTTACTGAACTCTCAATTCAAAAATAAAAGGTCAAAGATTAATTTTGCTGCTATAACTGAGATGAAATTACTTTTAACAGGAGAAAAAATTAGATGAAAGTGCCTAAGAAACCTCATTATGATCTTATCCTAGAAAAAGAAAAATGAGCAACTAATTACTCAATATAACAGCTTCACCAAACGCACTGGGGGTTTTCCTTATTTTTACCTTGGTTAGTTTATAAAGCTCATCTAGAAAACTATCCATATTTCTGAGGCTAAAATTTTGGATACAAACATCACATTGTGGAAGGCAGTGAAAAAGGTGTGTTACAATCAGATGCTAATAAATGCCGTTTAAAAAAAAATCACAACATTAAAAAAAAAATCTCTTACCAGTTGAAACTCTCGACGCCGGTCATAGGCATTCTGTATGCCACTGTCTGCCCATAATGCTCTTATAGCAGGAAGGTACTGTAAGAAAACTTGCGTTTCCACGATTCCCTGGGCGGTCAGGGGTGTCCGGGTATCGAATGCCATCAGCTTGTCTCCATTGAGCTGGTTTGAGTTATCCCCCCAAGGAATGTGGAGTTTCTCTCGGGCATCTACCAGCACCCTCATACCTTTGTTTGAAAAAAAAAGTGTGATGGGAGTCATTAGATAGTCTCAGAGATTCGATTCTTGTATTCTTTCCTTAAACTTCTTGAGTATTCTAGGCCCAGCACCTCCAAAAAATGGAGACCAACATCAAAACAAATAGAAGTAACTTCTCAGAGTGTAAAAAGAAAAAAAATTAAAACTCACAGTTGTTCAGTTATAAAATTAGAACCTTGAAAAGCAAACACAATTAACACAAGTGCTTCTTCTGTAACATTTTAACATGTTCTAATTAATAAAATAATTCCTGGGGAGAAGAGAGTCACAAGACAATCAAAACCAGCAAACAAAGAAGAAACTCCGCTGCATAACCTGATGTCCAGGCTCTGAAGATCTGAAAACAAGGCTTTGAGTCTATCAGAGAAACTTTCATGAAACGCCAAGAAGAGACTCAGCCCCGTGTTCTCCCGGTCCCTGAGCACTCTGCCCAGCCCAACCCATGGCTTCCAGGACCACGCTCAGAGCTCAGACACTTCTCCCCTCCCAAGCTTCCAATCCGGGTGAGGCTCAGGGTGGCGTGAGACTTCCCTAAAAGGAGGAAGACCAACTGCAAAAAAGATGTAGAAGCAGAGATTTCAACTCACAGAGATGAATTCAAACCCATTATTTCTAACTCTACACTGTTAACCTTTCGTCCCTCCTAACACTCACGTGACTATTAGGTCGTTTGTTTAGATAACTGAAAAACCCTTTGGCTGTCAATTTTCTGATCACGTCAACTCAGAAAATGCAGACGGCCAGTGACTTCATCTCACCAACACTCGAGGGACGTCACAGTTAGGAGCCCGTGTACAAGAGGAACCAGGTGTTAAGCAAGAGCCAGGTGTCTACCTGGCTATCAGTCAACGGCTGGTCTACTCGTTACCAGAGCCCCTCACAAGCAGCTGCATCAGCTACAGGCACCTTCGCTCAAGGACTGACTACACGGAGTCTTGGGCCTTGAGAGAGACCTTAGATTAATTTTTTACTAAACAAGAAGAAAGAACAAATTCAACCTCTTCTTACAGCTTACTGCAGAAGTCCTCGGGCTGGTTGTGGTCTGTGAGCTCCTGGTGTCCTGCCCCTCCCTCATCGTTAACCCCACAAAGCTCCCCCTCTCCATTCGCCGCACCCCAAGCAGTTTTCCTCCACTCAATCCTCGGAGGGGAAAAAAAGTGACTCAAAAGAGTAACTTAAGTACTTCCGCAACAAAACCCCCCCTTGAAAATAACGCTGCTTGGAAAGGCTTGACATCTATTACCAACCCCTAGATAAACTGCTACCCAGATACCACAGAGAGCACCCTCAGGCACCTGAAGAACCAGGCTCTGAATCTCAATTCTGCCAAAATGCCTTTTCTAAAGTCCAATTCAGCTGGACACTACAAAGAGTGCTAATCATATCTCAAATGACAAAAGTAAAATCCACCCCGATTTGTTTGGAAGCCCAGAACTAAAACTTCTGTGCGTTTTTCACTTGAGAACAAAGATCAACTCTAGTTTTAAAAATATCCACGAACAGCAGCAGAACCTGTGACCCAAGCCGACACTGATTCATTGACTCCGCCTGCACGGTCTCAGGCCCTTGACCCTCTGTACCCACACACAAATCCGTTTAAGCAGTAGACGCTCCCCCCACCGCAGTGAGAAGCAGAAGGAGGGTGCAAGGTGCTCGGTGAAGACAGGCACACATCCTGCCCGACCGTGACACTGGGGCGAAAAACCACTGATGCTAAAACTTTTTCAGACCGACTGCATGGTGCGCTCTTTCCTGACGGCAGCACAGCAGACAGGACACCCTCGAGTTTCACATCCTTGCCCCCTAAGGGCCAGGAGCCTGTCACCCTTCGGCCTTGACCAGAGTCTCCGGCACAAGGTTCCGGAGCTCCTCGGCTCCGGAGCTGGGAGTAGCCCCGACCCCATGTGACTCGGCCACCCGCCACCCGGGGCGCGAGGCTGGACGGGCAGCGCCCGGGCTGGCTCGTTCCGGGGAGAGGCCAGCCTACACCCCGGGGCGCTTCCCTCCGGCGGGGGGCGAGGCCAGCGGCGGGGTGAGGGGGCCCCCCCGGCATCCTCTCCCCCGGCCGCGCCCCCTTCCCGCGCGCCCGGCCCGGGGCTCCGAAGGGGAGGGCGGTGCCCAGCGCCGCCGCCCCGGCCCCCCGCCCCCCGACCTCCCCAGTGTCCCCGCTCCCCGGCCCCGGGCCCCCCACCTTTGATCACGTTGCTGTAGATGGTGGGGCGGAACTCCTCGCGCGCGCGCTGATCGAAGTCCTGCCCGTGGATGATGCGCATCTGCTTGAGGAAGGTGGACTTGCCGCTCTCGCCCGCGCCCAGCAGCAGGATCTTCACCAGGCGCTTCACGTAGGTCTTCTCCCGCGACAGGCACTTGTCGATCTCCTTGGACTTGCGCTGCTGCTCGGCCTCGCCGCTCGTCAGCACGCAGCCCGGGAAGCACACGGACAGAACGGACCGCGACGGCAGGAAGTCCGCCATCTTGCCGCCTCGGCGGGGCCCTGCGGCTCCTCCGCCCGCTCGGCGCGAGGCTCCGGCTCCGGCTCGGCGGCTCGAGGGCGGGGGGCGCCGCGGCGGCCCGGGCGCGCCGGCGGAGGGCGGGAGCCGGCGGTCTGACTCGCAGGGCGGGCCGGGCAGGGCGGGCCGGGCGCGCCGCGGAGGGAGGGCGGGAGGGCGGGCCCGGCGGGGCGGCGGCCCCGGGGCGTGCGCGCGCCCGCCGCCTCGCGGGGGCGTGCACGCACGCCGCTCCCGGAGACTCGCGCTCTCTCGCGAGCCCGCGAGCTCCGCCAGGCGCGCGCGAGGCGGGACGGGGTGCGCGGGGCGCGCGGAGTGGGGGCAGGGCGGTCACGTGGCCCGATCCGCCGCTGCGCCTCCTGCTTCCCTGGAAGGAGCTGTACCACCTCGGGGCCGCGCGGCAACTTCCGGGGGTCCAGGGGGCCGGAGACCCGCCCCAGGCTCTGCCCTCTGGGCTCGCAGCGTCTCCCGCCGCCGGCCGCCGAAGCCTTTGGCTCCAAAGTTGTTCAAACAGAGAGCGGGCGTTTGCGGTTTTGGTGCATCTTCTTCCAGTGGGTCCCTTGACACCCCGCCCTCCCGTCCCCGGGATGGAAACCTGCGTGACCCCCCCAGCCCCACCCGAGACCGTGCCAAGACACTGCTTGGGGAGGAGGGGCCGGGGAGGCGCCAGGACGGGCTGTGGATGCCTCCCGGCCGCGGTCCGCACGCAGGCTGACGCCGACGTCTGCACGGGTGAGGTCACCCCGAAAATCCCCCCGCACCGGACACCGACGCGGCTGTTCCCTAGAGGAAGCAGATAAGCAGACAGACCGAGGACAGGAGCCGGCGGAGGTTAGGTTTCCTGCCGGATTGCAGAGGATGTGACCGGCCAAGACTCGGGCCCGGACACCTGCAGGGCTCCGGGACCACAAGTGACACCTGGGCTGGCAGAGGGACGCCTCGCAAGGACCCCGGAAGCCAACTTCTGTCTAAGCGCTCTAGTTTCAAGTGGAAAAAGCCCTCTGGGCAGGTCTCTATGGCGGTGCAACTCCTCCCAAGAGCCTTGCCTGGGGCTTCCGGGGCTCAGAGGCTTGTCTGTGTCAGGCAGCGAGGTAGCAAAGAGTTCAGTGCCCTCGACAGGCTCAAGAACACGTTTAAACAAAAAAAATCAGTGATAATCAGTTTACTGGCCGGATTGGGTTAATGGCTGAGGAGCCCTATGACTCAGTAAATTGGCTGCAGTAAACAATACCTGCAGTAGGATTATCTCCTGTTGTCCTGGCCAAGCCCATCGTGTGGACAAGCTGCCTTATACAAAGTAGGGTAGGTTCCCCTCCAGTATCACTAGGCGGTGCCTTTAGGCAAAGTAGATAGTAAAAGTCCACCCAGGTTGGAAGAGCTCTCTGCACCTTCAGCTACTGTTTGGGAAGCTGGGTTCTCCACCCTTGAAAGGACCGACCTCTGCCCAGGACAGGGTATAGCGCTGGCCCCCAAACAGCATGTCTGTTTGGACTCCACATGCTAATCTGAATGCCACAAAAACAGGAAGAGGGAAGCCTATCAATTAAATAGTTGGCATCTTTTTCTTCCTTTTCCAGGAGTGCTCACTACATAACTGAAGCACCAAGGATGCCCCGCAGGCAGGAAGGCTTTCCCGCCCTGCCAGTTCATGCTGTGACATGTAGAACAGCAGAGGAAGGTGTCCAGAGCCCTGCCTGTAACCTCGAGTTGAACAAGCTTGACTCATATCAAACCCCGCTGCTTGCCTCAGTGCTTCAGAAAAAAAAGAGACCTCTTTGGGCCCTGCCTGGGGTCAGGCTGCAGTCGTCCAGTAGCTTCTGTCTGGTTGTCAGGCCACCTTGAAAGTATGAGCATTAAAATGAGCTGGTGGTACAGTAGATAAGGATCCTCCTGCTGATGCAGGGGCCGCAGGATTTGGTCCCTGGTCCGGGAAGACCCCACATGCCGCAGAGCAAGTGAGCCCCGAGTGCCACAACTAGTGGGCACACGGGCTCCTAGAGCCCATGCTCTGCAGTGAGGAGCCACTGCATTGAGAAATGCAACATAGAGAAAAGCCTGTGCACAGCAATGAAGACCCAAGGGTAATCAAAATTAAAGACATAAATAAAGGACTTATTGTTTAAAATGAGCTGGAGGACTTCCCTGGCAGTCTTTTGGTCAAGACTTCACCTCCCACTGCAGCGGGGTGCAGGTTCCACCCCTGGTCGGGGAGCTAGGATCCCACATGCCTGTTGGCCAAAAATCCAAATCATAAAGCAGTATTGTAACAAAGACTTTAAAAGAAATGGTACACATTCAAAAAAAAATCTAAGAAGAAAGTGAGCTAGAGGTTTGATGGTTCCTCAGAAAGTTACACTTAGGATTGCCATATGACCCAGCAATTTCATTCCTAGGTATATACCCACAAAGAATTGAAAACAGGTGTTCAAAGGAAAAATTGCACACCTGTGTTCATGGCGGCACTATTCAGAATAGCCCAAAGGGGTGAGCAACTCATTTATCCATCAATGGATGGATGGATGAACAGTGTGGTATATCTATGCAGTTCAATTATTCAGGCATTAAAAGAAATGAAGTGCTGACACGTGCTACAACGTGGATAAACCCTGAAAACTTTACGCTACGTGGAAAAGCTGGTCATAAGTCCACACGGTGTAAGGCTCCATTTATAAGAAATGTCCAGAACAGACAAATCCATAGAAACAGCAGATTAGTACTTGCCAGCAGTAGGCAGAAAGAACAGGGAGTGACTGCTTCAAGAGTATAGGCTTTCCTTTCGGGGTGATGAAGATGTTTAAGAACTAAATAGTGGTGGTGGTTCATTCACAGAATTTTGGGAATATACATATATTATATATATCCTATATACATAGGATGTGCTCAGTCATGTCTGACTCTTTGTGACCCCATGGACTGTAGCCCACCAGGCTCCTCTGTCCATGGGATTCTCCAGGCAATAATGCTGGAGTGGGTTGCCATTTCCTTCTCTAGGAGTTCCTCCCCATCCCAGGGTAGAACCCGCATCTCCTGCACTCCAGGCGGATTCTTCACCCACTGAGCCATCGGGGAAGCCCCTGGGAATCTACTAAATGCCCCCAAATCATACACTTCAAAATGGTCAAATGATAAATTTAATGTTATGTAAATTTCACTACAATAAAAAAAAATGAGGTAGGGAAAACAATATCTTCCATAAAAGTCACTGGAGTCATTTACCGTTGAAGACCCACAGTGTATGATGTTCAGTGCATGAAAGTGATTCTGAGTTTTTTTTCCTTTTTTGGCCATGCAGCTGTGGGATCTTAGTTCTCTGAGCAGGGATTGAACTCAGGCCCTCGCCAGTGAAAGAGCTGAGTCCTAACCACTGGATAGTCAGGGAATTCTCTGGTTATGTTTATTTTAAAGTAACTCGAACAATTAAAATTACTTGCACCAGAAGCAAATCTACTTTAGTTGTTGCTTCAAGTCACATTGTAATAATATTAGTGAATATTATAATTTTCAGACAAATTCTTTCATAACTGAAAAGATAGTCTAAACTTTTTAAGGGAATATAGAGTCTGTCGTTTGGAATTGGATCTTCTGGCTGCTGTATTTCTGATAGACGCAGATGTGAATCCATCGGAAACACCTGTGTTAGCCGGTTAATCCTTGTGCAGATGAGGGGTTCATATACCCTGAGGAGGAGCTGTGATGAAAAGATTGCACAGCTAAATGGTTAATTAGTTGTAGCGTGGCTCTCTTCTTAATGGAAACTCAAAGTCTAGTGGCAAACAGTCTTGCTAGATAAATAATCAAGGTGTGACTAACAGTGTAGAAACACATTTCCACTCGACTTTTCTACTCTAATGTGGTCGCCTTACGAAGGATCAGGCCCTGTCTAGCAATACTGTCGATTCCTGTAATCTACTATCTGTTCTTTTTTTTTCCCTCCTTAGCGACTCCGCGGCTTGTGGGGTCTTAATTCCCCGGCCTGGGATGGGACCCGTGCTCCCTGCAGTGGAAGTGCAAAGTCCTAACTGCTGAACCTCCAGGGCAGTCCAGCTATTTGTAACTTTCTGTTGGAACTGAAGGAAAGCCAGGTTTCCTGTCTTAATCATAGTTTTCTAAAAAGTGTGGGCTTCCCTCGTGGCTCAGTCAGTAAAGAGTCTGCCTGCAATCCTGGAGACCCGGGTTTTTATCCCTGGGTCCGGAAGATCCCCTGGAGAAGAAAATGGCAACCGACTGCAGTATTCTTGCCTGGGAAATCCTGTGGACAGAGGAACCTGGCGGGCTACAGTCCATGGGGTTGCAATGGACTGCAAGAGTCAGATCCAATTGAGCATCTAACACTTTTTTAAATAGTGGCACTACTTAGCTCATTTAACAGACGCTGTGACAAATAACTTTGAGCTGTTTACAAAAATCAGTGTTTTTCACAAAGGACAAAAATGTGTCACCCTCAGACATGTTTGAAAGAATCTGCCAGAGGCTCTCGGAACGATTCCAAAAAAGGAGTTTAAAAAAAAGATTTGGGAACGATGGGAAATATAATTTAAATAAGTGCTTGGCCTGCCAAGGTGACTACTCACTCTTCAGGATGGGACAACACCCATTTAGATGTGTTTATGTAAAGATCAGTCACGTTACTGGATGGGGAAACCGTGGGTTAATTTTCTAATAAAGATGACGACGCACTCGGGGTTTTCGTCACTTGACTCTTCAGTCTCATCGCCAGTGTTATTATAATAGGTGGGTTCTGCTTCTTTCAGATAAAGCAGGCGTGGGTTTTTCGCGTCTTCCTTTCTGTGCTAGGAAAGGAAGGGAATTCCCTAGTCTTCCCAGAGTACAGATCTCTTTGAGTTGTGTGTGTGTGTGTGTGTGTGTGAGATGTTTTAAACGCCCCAAAGCATTTTGACCTACTTTATCTCATTCTCTGCTCACAATAGGCTGACGGAGCACCCAGTGTTAGGCTCACTCCCTGAGCA